TACCATATTTTTATCTGCTTTAATTGGTGGGTGTAAAAGTCGAACAATGGGTTTCAACGACTAAAAGGGAGACAGATTATGAGCGATCAACACTTCAAGATAAAAGTGTATCATATATTTGTTTAGTTTCAAAATTTTTCATTACAGAGTTGTTATTATTTCAGAGATAAAATGTCTATGGATTGTAATAAAAATGATTTCAGAAAATTTATAAAATGTCTGTTTACGACATTTTTATAACGATAAAATCCAATTAACCACAACCGAGCAAGGCTAGGTCTAATATTACTTTTTTGTATACAATACTATGTGAACATATTACTCTCAAGCCCAATGGTTAAAAATAAATATAAGTTGCCTTTTTAGAATTTGGTACCAAATATATTTCAATGACCTTTAGACCTTTAGATTCTAAGTTTCAGAATTTAATAAGTTAAAGAAATAATGTTGTATTATTCACGAAAACACAAGTTATTTGAGTTTGAATATATTTGATTGTTGTTGCTATCCAAACTATATTCTCTGTATTGATATTTCTAATGACATGACCTCAGAGAGTGACTAGCTCCTGTAATACCGAGATAATTGCCTCTAACGTTTCTGAGCCGAGATTTGTGGATCACCGAATTGGAACGATACTCGGAAATCATTATTTGATGGCGTATATAGTGGAGTCTACAAATTCGACAACAGTGAACTTAGACCTGAGGTTTGTCAATTCTATAATTTAGGAACTGCAAGAGAAATGTTATTATTTGGCATATTAATATTAGGTTTCGTCAGTACAGCCTATAGTGGCTTTTTTTGATGCAGGCTCACATTTTGACCGAGCACTCGTGGCTTGAGCGTTGATAAAAATAACACTGTAGTCGTCTTCTTACTTTCGTATTGTAAACGTCTTCGATGTAACTTAATGAAAAATTATTAAACAATAATAGCGAGTGTTGCACAGTGATCTATTAATATTTTACTTCATAATAGGGAAATGTCAGTTTCAATCATTAAACAGTCTGAAGACTTTATCAGAGGTTTTAGGAGGCCGATTATGTTGACATATTTCTAATTATATAAAAAAGCGCAATAACCGTCAAGGAATCAATTGACAAAAGTTGTACTAAAAAAACTCCACAGTGCCAGAGTTTGGTTTGTTCATTTAACGTCATTTACGGCGTTAAAACACAACCCCGCAATGTGATATTGGGGGCATAAATTAAGTAATACATAAAGGAGATAAGCATATAAGTTGCCTTTGGCAGTACTAGTTCATGGGTTGCCGGAATTGCACAAGCCCTATCTACTAAAAAATGTGTACCATGCTCTTTTCCATAGCCATGTCACCTATGGCATAGCGATGTGGGGACACGCACCACTAACTCAGGACATTCTCCTCTTACAGAAGAAGGCTGTAAGAATTATAACATCCTCAGACTTTGATGAACACTGAAGGCCTCTCTTCATGGAGCTAGGAATATTAACAGTACACAGCCAATATATCCTAAGCAGTTTGCTACTCCTAAAAGATAACCTCCACCTTTTTGATATGAGGGAAAGCCAACATAGCCATAACACTCGAAAGGCCCAGGACCTTGATCTGCCGTGGTGTAGGCTTAGCCACTCCATCAAAAGCTACCCTCGCTCAGCAATCAAGACCTTTAACACGCTGCCAAAAAGAGTGAGAGAGTTAGACAGGACTAAATTCAGGGCAGTACTGCAGGGCCATCTGGTTAAAAGACCCCTCTACTCTTTAGAGGAATTAAGGGAAGTGCCACTAAAAGTTAGCTGAAAACAGCACTGCAGTAGGAAATCAGTTATGAAATCAAATCGCCACAGCCCAGTTAATAAATAGTTTGTTTAGTAAAAAGTTTGTAAATATTAGTTTTAAATAATATGTAAATAAATAGTATGTTAATGTGCCTCTGACGCAATCTATCCGACATTGTCGGTCAAGGATTAAGGACACAAGTATCAAGTATCAATTAAGTATCAAGATATGTAAAATTCCGGCCCCTACACTCCATTTTGGTCGAGAAAATGATACGTCATCGTGACGACACTATAACCTAGGCGGGGTACAATTCTAGGGGGGGGGAGAAATTCCGCCACTCCTAATGCATTATTGAAAAAAAGCTTGTAAGACAACAAAATTATAACTTTTTGAACTTCTAGATTTATTTTCCCTTTAACATCATACTTTTGTAACGTAGTGTTCCTGTTGGTGATCGGTTTAGCTTGCTTGTGTAAAGGCATTATATATTATGTGTGGTTTGAAATCGATCTATATTTTTAAACTGTTGGACGAGATATTGTAGACTTAACCGTAGAAACGAGGTTATACTTTAAAATAGGGTACCCAAAAAACAAAACATAAACAAAAAATCAATGAAATTTTAAAGGTCTCAAATTATTTTAGTCTTTCATTCCTTACCTATCATTTGCTTACTGTTAAGCAGAATTAAATTTGCCCCATGAAGGATTACAGAAGGATTCCTTGAGGCACTGAAATGCTAAATAGCCCGACAACGTCAACCAAATGAAACCACTGGCTTTGTGCAGCCAGCATTAGAAACCCTACGAAGCATTACACTGTTCTTAATTCAGTTTCGAAATTAGGCTATGAGGAAAAGTACCCTCAAAGACACAACTAAGACCCTGTTTTTGTGTTAATATTTTATAAATCATGTTAAGTTTCTACAATGCAATGAAATAATAAAAACGCTTTCTGTAAAAACATGAGCTATGACTAAACAATTCACCTCTTCACGAAAGTAATTTTGCTAGTTTCCTTCGAAAAAACTCAGTGTAGATTAAGTCTGACAACTAAAACCAAGTTGGCTAGAAACGCGCAGACAATTAATCTTCTGTGGTAAGAAACATCAGCTGACTGATTCAAGGGGATCAAAGAATAGTATATTTCATCAATAGGGCCTAAAGTGACTGTTTTTGACCTGAGCTCAATTTTTACGATCAAGGCGAAACCAAGGTCGGAAAATGAGCAATGATCGAGGGTTTAAAGACACCTTTGGCCAGTGTGGTGAACTATATTTTTCGTCGTGTTGCACCATTAATTAACAAACTAAGCTAGAAAATTAAATAACTTTTGTGTAAAGATAACCTCTAAAAATTCATTACAGTTTGTTTTCAGTTCTGCTAATGTAAATAAGCAGCTGTTTAGTAAATGATTCAATCATGTCATTTATTATGATTGGTACATTATATCTATGACTAAACCATCGATATGTCGAGCGATTGACAACAATAGGCTAAAACCTTAACTAATAACTCAATCGATAAATGATTTCGATCGATACGATTGCCACAATTGAAATGTACAACTATTTGCAACAGCTGATTTTTACTCTCTCGAGACAAAAATGCTGCTTTAGACCCGCAAATCCTGCATTAAAAACGGCTGTTTTGCTGCAGTATGACGAAAAAGAATAAATATCAAGATCTTAGAGGTGTATATTTCGTTCGTTACTGCGTCTTAAAAAAATATGTTATCTGATCATGGTCAATAACAAAACTGCATCCCATCTCACCCACCGTGTGATGGGGTTAAAGTATGCCTAAATAACATTTTCATCTCATAATAATACATCAAAATCATATTTCTGACAATATCGTTTGTAATAAATGTTATAATGTCAACTATACGTGCCCGTAGCAACAAGAAATTGTAGATTTTAAATATTTATCCTTATTAACACACCTTTTATCCACAATACGATGGGTATTTTGACAGATAATTAAACTGAAAAAAACCATTTGAATAGTACTGTTTAGCTCAGTGATACACAATTGAAAACAGGAGCCGTTATAAAGAGAAGACTAAAGACATAAATATAGAACAGAAACCACCCTAGTCCCGAGATTACCTCCAGTCCCAAATCCCATTGCAATTTCTAAAAGAACACAAATTGCAAACAACAATATAAAACATTGATATATTTAATATTAATTTTAAAACTTTATATAGTCGATTCAAAATAATTTTAATGTTACTAACTAACCATAACTAATCAAATGTGTACTTGTTTGTTATTTTTTTAGCAATTTGTATATACTTATTATTTAATTCCATTTGGTTATATTTTAGAACAACATTTGGCCACAAAATATACGAGTATTTCACTACAAATGCAACTAATAATTTTTTTGTGTTATAAAGCTAGTACTTGGTGGACGAGTCATACATAGGTCGATGCAGTTTATTTCCATTGTACCCCTATAACGAGTAATCTTCAGTGTAATCTTTGCTCAATAGTATCAACTGATGTTTTCCCTGTGTACTTTATTTTGTAATATGCTAGTACTTTATGTGGATGACTTGTTATAAAGACATGTTAGAAGCCTTTTGTTTACGACCAATTTAAGGAAAGGCCAATTTAAAAAAAAATGACGTTCAATTTCATTTTTTTACGTAGTTGGATTTTTGACAATTTTAGGTCAGATATAAACTATTTACAACATTGAAAGGAAATCGTCGAAGCCTTTTTCGAGATTTGTTTGCATACATACACGCACTCAAGCAAACTAACATTGCTCATTTAAGAGTATAGCAAGTATGCTATGTGGAATTTGTATATACTTAAATTATACAATTAACAACAACAAACAAACAACAAACAATACAATTAGTAAATTGTATGACCCAACAAACTTATCTAATTAAGTAATTAATTAGTAATCATTAATTAATTAATTAAGTAATTAATTAAGTAATTAATTAATTAAGTAATTAAGTGTTGAGTCGGTTTCTCAGTCGGTAGCGTCACGGACTTAGGGCCCAAGGCAGTAGTGTCGTGGGTTCGGATCCTGGTCACTGCCACTAACTTTTATCAGTACAGTTCACCTTTGTGCTGTACCGCGGCTCACCCCTTGCTTTGCTGGATACGTTCCACGCACAGATCTGTAGTCTATGTGGACGGGCAAATGCAAGGTTAAAAGAGGCCACCAACCTAAAAAAATATATATATATATATATATATTGTGATTTTCAGAGCCCAGAGACCATTCGCCCCCAGAGCCGGCGCCTCCGGAGGTTCCTCCTAGAGGGCCGTCCCTGCACCATCCCTCACTCGGCCACCGCGCCAGGACCACCCCTGACAGCGTTAGCAACTATGTCTTCCCGGCTCAAGGTGAGGCAGATACATTCATATGTGCTTGGAGATGTACTTTGTACTTTACACCGTCAAATATTACTTTTTGTTCATGTAAACATCAGCTTTACAATAAGGAGCCATATTGAAACATCATCTAGCAGACTCTACGACAACGTACTACTAAAAACGGAAAAACAGGTTTAATTAATTTCTACGAAATGTATAATTGTTGTAGGAACTTTGGAAATAAGTTTTTCATTTCACTTGCACAATGAAACTTTTAATCGTATATGCAACAACAAACGGTACATCATTTGGATTTAAGTATTTTGAAATATCTGCATTTTAGCGAATTTCCCATATGGGGAATAAGCTAAGAGCTAGGTCTCGTGGTAAGACCTGGACCCAGAACTGATCCCTTTTTAATTTGGAGCACCCGGATGCAAAAAACCCCATTCGTTCAAATCCATATAGTTATATACGTGTGTATGTATGTGTGTCCGTTATCACGATAACTAAAGCAAATATGATCAGATTTTAATGAAATTTGGTATACAACTGTAAACCCACATTTTTTTGAACTGGTTTTGCGAACCAACATGATCGGACCATGGAAACGGAAGTTTATGGGGATTTTACTGGTCAAACTAGATTTTTCCCATTTTTACCTTTAAAATAAAAGTTTTGCAGTTTATTTCTAAACCATTTTGTAGAGCTTGCAAAAAAGACAATTTGGTGGTTTTAAGCGTTGTTATGCGCTTAAGGGGAAAATTCCATAAAACTGTATATATTTTAAATGTTCATGTTATTCTTATGACATTCCATGTAGCAGCTAACCTAAGAACTCGTTAAACTAATATTATTTAAATAAGGAATATAGATTTGTAATTTTAAAGGAGATATTTAAGTGAAAATACAATCATAAATCGAAATTAGCTTAGTCTGCTGGTTTGCTGTTGTGGGATTTAAATACTTTTTCCATACTGAATCAATAGTAAAGTTAAGCGATTCTCGAATCAATCGATAACAATTCCAATATTCAACTCTGCTCACGTTTGAATCATGACAGGTGTAAGACAGTTGTGATTTCGTTTCAAGCCAATGTGTGTTATTAGACTACCTGGTGTCCTATAAACCGGTAATTAGTATCTTTGACTATATGATTCATGGTTCTGCAATTTTCGAATACAAATCAATATAGTTAGATTTACCAACATGAAAACGCATCAAAATAGTCTGCAGACAGTATTGGATTATAAGTCTACTTTCACACTCTTAGCCTATAAATTACCTTAACTATTTTTTGGAAGACTTTTAAAACTAGATAAGTATAATTTTAAATAAGTTTTAATGTACAGAACGTTTTAGTATAATAAAGGGCACTTGAAAAGGTATAGTTGTTAAAGTATTGCAACTGAACACATTAATTACTAATTAACACGTAAAGTTGGAATATTTGTGTACATGTTCAACAATATTTTGCTGCAAATACTCGTATCACTTTACAATTTGTATTAGCAAGTGGAGGAAATCACTCGCAACCTCATATCAAATTGGGCAGCGCGTCATTCAAAACACGTTGAAAGGGCGTTGTTAGGTGTCAATAGCACGTAAATGAAGAGAGTTAGTCGCAGAATATTAACGAACGGCTTGCAGGTGGCGTTCACATCACAGAACCAGGCTGGACATAATTAAATCAGGACAATAAGGGAGGGAAGTCTAATGGGGTCTGTCGATTAGCGGACCCTGCGACCGGATTAATGATAACACTGGCCTGCTCTAAGCTTCAATTTATAGGCGAGGGGAGTAGATTGTTTACGGATAAAGAAAATACTGTTTGCTGAAGTCATAGTGGAGATTGGGTTATATTAATTGGCTAGTGTAAAATGTATAATTGAATCGGTTAATTACTTAATTCTAAGTCACGGGTCTTTCAAGGGGAAACCTAATGAAAAATCTTCAGTGTGATTAGAGGTTCAGCACATACAGTCCCCGTTTAAAGTCGGAATAAAGATCAACACATATCAGTCCAGTCACAGTTCGGTTGTTGCATCCGCAATTCCTCAGTCCACTGTCCGTCAGGTCTTCCGTCAATGTATTTACAGTGATTTTACAGTCAAGAATTTTTAATTAAAACACAATATTCTATAACATTTTCATCACCCAGCTTGTTGATTGTTACAAACAGTACTAAAAATATAAACACAATCATTTAAATAGCACAAAAACTATTTTCTAACCTCTAACACGTCCGTGAACAGTTTTATATACAGTAGGTTATGTATGATAGGTTTTAGATATCAAAAACTAAAGTTCAAATAGACATCAATTATAAGGGAAGTCAATTTATATGGTCCATAATGATCAGTGAAAGAGACAATAAAACCTTAAAATCTTGCCGTTAAGAAGTAGAAATAAAAATATACAAAGATTAACGTAGACTACATCTTACATAAAAAATTATCCGAATTACGAATTGTGGGTCGTTTAGTTTATTATGCGTGAAACGTAATAGAAATTAGAATAAGACAGAATACAAAGTTACCTTATATTGAAATTAAAATATTTCAATTTTGAGTAAATGACTAAATTTTCCATGACAGTTATTTCATATCGAAATTCTGCTCTTTCACGCTTTAGTTCAGACTTGCATTATTACATTATCGACTTCATTATTTAAACTACTTCTGAGGAAAATGAAAAGGGAAAGTAGTGCATTTAGCTGCATTGTATGATAATTTACTACAATATTTTAGCAATTGACTCAACCATAACTCCTGCTAATGCAACTAAATAAATGTGATCTTGAAGAATAATGCACCCAGGTTATTAGTGTAATGTGTTTTCCATATTAACACCTTCCCTAAATAGGCTACCCTTTAAACCCGCATTTGAACAATAAAATGGTAGGTATTTCATAGGAACAAATTCGTTAGAGAGGTGTATGATGCAAATGAGCCAACGAAGGGATAAAAGAATTTGCCCCCCTGAAGGGCGGAACGCGTCCGATTAGATGGGGTGTGAAAAGTTAAATTAGTCACTGGTATCCTGCAATTTTAACATCATTTACTTAGCCTCAATGAATATCTTCGCTATTATTTCGGTTATTTTAAAATTATAAATCTGGGTCCTATAATCAAAAACAAGAACTTGTACGGACACACTTTTATTTTTGTACGAGGATTTTTATTTTTTTGTTTATTCAACGTATCAAATTGGACAGCGCGTCATTCAAACACGTTTTACCTTCGTCAATACATCTAAAACACTACATAGATTATCTGCAACTAAAACAACATTCATTTGGCTGGTTTTGTAACTATTGTAACCACCGGCCAATGTATTTAGCCACGAGAAATCGATTGGAGTTGGTCACAAGGCTGGAAAAATCCAGTTTCCGCCCTACAGACCTTTAAAGTACCCATGTTATCGTCAATACATTTTTGTAGCTGCAGTTAATAAAACAGCTGATACAGGTAATTTTTATAGCAATCTATGTATTTATATAGGTGTATAACAACTTTTTCTTTGTGTAAACTAAAATTTGTTCACATTGATTAAAGTACATACTAAATATCTTTAATTTAGCTCAATATTTTATTTAATAAATTTAATGTTTAATTCAATCCGAGCAAAGCTCGGTCTTCTGGAACTGTTGAATAATTTACTAAAACATATAGGTTTTAGTCAAAGTTTGTATCCAGTTTAAGTAATAGTCTTTTCATATAAGAAACCATATACTGTACCATATACCATATACTACCATATATGAAGACTTATAGTACAACGGATACCAAATAAATGTAACATTATTCCGTCACCAAACCATTGGTGAAAGGTGGGATTTGAACCAATGACTCAAGGGCAGAAATGCCAAGCTCTATACACACGACCATCCACACCATGCAATGGCAATAAGAACAAGCACACTAAACACCGATAACGAAAGGTTCCTATTTATGAATCGTACAAAGAAACGTGTTTTAAAGATTTACAATTGATAGTTTTGTACTTTGGTACTATATGGAGGCCATATATTTTACAGCGCGCTGCGGCGGTTAGGTTTGGTTGGGTTATCATAACTATGTTTGTAGGACTTTGCTCGTTTCGTTATGAATATACCATATTATATTCGATACCATACATTCTATTTATGATCTATCTATCTATTTATGGTAGGGTGGAAGTTAGCAGAATGGACGGAATCTTTGTGATTGTCATCTATGATTTAAATATTTTTTTATTTTCTCACATTTACTACGTTTGTTCGCTTTTATTACAATAATTTAGTTTTCTATGTTTTTTTTAGTAAGGTGAGAATATGAAACAAATGGGCACAGTTTAGTTAAATCACTGAATGCTCTAGAGGAATTCAATTAGCTATCAAACAAAACGTGGGATATAAGTATATTCAACAAACATTCAAACTTTCAGATGTTTAACCATTGAAACAGAAAGTTATTTTCAGCTAATATAAAAGCCGGAACATGGCATTTGCAAGCCGTGTAGGTGCTTCGTACGAGAACCCTCGTCCATTAGGCCTTCAATGTGATTATACGCAAGGTAGCGAGGTAGCGAGGTAGCGAATACCACCCTCAGCGTGCGATTAAATTGTAGCCGATGCTATCAGGAACTAATGGACTCGATAACTCTCTTAGCGAGGCTTTTAAGATAAAATCACTTCTGGAGGATATCGGATGGTCCTGTGACAGATTCGTAGCAAACACTTATAGCCACTTTGAATATTACTGTAAATGTGACGTTTTATGACTACAATTTATTCCAAAGGAGCTAAGTAAATAAATGTAAATAGTTTAAAATACGATAGCTAGAAGCAAGGGGTTTGTTTTTTATATTATTGGATCAGAATTAATGCTTTAAAGATTTTCTCAAGTTGATAACTGTTTTCAATTCAAAACTGTTTCGAATAAAAAAAATCTCTTTTACCATAACTGTCTTTACTAAACGACTAATTTTACTAAATGTTTAAGTCAAATCGTGTAAAACCTTATTTCGAAAATATACCCAAATTTCTT